TATCGATGGACTCAAGCGTGGTGAGGTTGGCCCAGGATCAGGCAGTGTTTCGTTTTGCTGTGCATGAGGTCGCTATGGGTCGGTACACCTAAAAACAACAACAACATCTTTGTTGTACAGGGTCCGTGTAGTGTGTCTCCCTGATCCGCCATCTTGCTGGAAAGATGGGACCATCCTACTGTGTTGTGTAAGTCTGTGCTTTGAGTCTGAATCGACTGGACGGACACCAGTGGGTTTTGTTTTTCTGTACCTGAGTTGAATTTTCAAGGTGTGATTTCACTATACTCATGGTAAGGAGCTCTGGTAGCGTAGTGGTTACGAATCGGGCTGCGAACCTTAAGGTCAGCGGTTCGAAACTACCAGCCGCTCCGCGGGAGAAAGATGAGGCTTTCTACTCCCGTAAAGATTTACACCCTCGGAAACCCTGTACAGGGTCGCTATGGGTCGGACCCGACTCGATGGCACTTAACAACAACAACAACAACAACATGGTAACCATTTCTTTAAACCACCCTGAACCCCTGATATGGGTACCCTCCCTAAACTGTATAGATTTTCCTGTCATTCAGAACATACAGGTCCCTCTCTGCAGGTCATCTTACCTGCCTAGTCAGGTAGAACACTGGACAGTTGGAACTAGCAGAACCTTGGAGTTTAATGAAAGCTCTGACAGATGTCCACAAAACTGATTTCCTGGATGCAGCCCAGTATGGGAACACCAACACCTTAGAGTAAGAGAACTTGGGGGACCTCATTGTTTCAGTAGAATATTCATGCCCCAAAGTGACAGATGCATTTCAATCGGTGGTTCTGGGAACCCTAGTACAGGACATGATTTTATCTGAAGAGACTGATCTCGGCCTTTTGGGCTCTAGGCTTGTTAAACCACATTCACTGTGTTGCCTGAAACAAATCACTGAACCGTTGAGTTGATTTTGACTCAAAGTAGTTCTCATACAGAATAGCGCTGTCCCCATAGGGTTTTCAAGGCTGTCATCTCTGCAGAGTACTCTTTACGGGGTCCTGGTGTGGCGCTGTAGGATAAGCAGTGGGCTGCTAACCATAAGATTGGCGGTTCAAACCCACCAGCCACTCCTCGGAAACGCTCCCTATACAGAGCACCTTAGCGATACGTAACAACTCCACAGAAGCAGACTGCCACATCTTTCTGCCAGGGAGCAGCAGAGGTAGTTGAACCGCTGACCTTATGGTTAGCAGCCGAGTGCAACCCATCTCAGATAGGAAGTATGAGCGGTGGTCCCATGGTGACCCCTTCATTCAAAACCCCTGACTGCAAGGGAAGTTGGGAAAATGGGGAACAGAATTGCAGCCGTTATGGCTCTCAACTGGAGCTGATGTTGGTCCCCAGGGGAACATGTGGCAGTATCTGGAGACAACTGGGGGGATTCCACTGGTGGGGATGCGTGATGGTCAGAGACCCATCCATATGTGTGTAGGCCAGACCTCTCCCAACAAAGAATCATCGTCCCTGAACTGTCAGTCAGTATGGATGCTGAGAAATCCTCATAACTGGCTTAGACCAGTTATGATTTACTGCCTACAGTCAAGTATGCCTAGAATACAGCAGAGATCTATGAGCAAGCAGCCCCGTTGTCTATCATGGGACTGAACTTAACTCAGCCGACAGAGCCCCAACTCTTGTCTAAACAGCCAGAGTAGTAGGCAAGTCAACATCCAGGGAAGGGAGGACACTCAGGTTCTCATGGTGGAGAGGTACCTTCACATGTTGGATGTCCTCTGTGCTCCCCCCATGATACCCGTATAACATGTTCGTTAATCACCATCCTTGTGTTTCATGAGTCTATTACTATAAACTGCCAACAAGGTAGCTCTAAACTCACAGCTAAATGGAAGAAAACGCTGTCTGTTTTACACCATGCCTGTGATCACTTGTGAATTGAGGGTTTTCATTGGCTGGTTTTCGGACGTCCATTGCCAGGTCTTCCTTCCTACTTCCTGTGTCTAGGTCATTCAGTTGCCTTTGCCAGTAATTTCTTAAGGAGGTGAGTTTTAGTTGGCAACATGACTTAGATGTTAGGACAGCGGCCTTTGGGTTTTCTGAGATGATTCTGCAGCAGGAAAAACCAACCGCTGGTGGAAACTTGCCTTTCGTTCTCCATTAGCATTTGAAAAATGGCTCTTGTGAAGCCGTGTTCATTAAGATTTTAATTTTGCAGTTTGTTCCTTTTTAAGTGACATGCAATTAATTAAGGTTTAATGTGTCATCTATTTTTCACCACGACACTTTTACTGTCCCCTTTTTCATTTTGAGTCCGTTTATAAATTGTACTTCAACTAATGAGTTCCACCCCGACTTCCAGTTCCAAATAATTACCCACCTTCCTCATTTGCCAATGCTGTAATTGTGTCATGGAATTAAGACCAGGCCAGGAGAGCTCAGGTGAGCAAGGGTCCCCCAGGGCCGCAGGTCACCGAGGGCTGATGGGCTGGGAAGCTGCTGGCGGAACTCCCTTTGTCTCTGGTTTAGCTCACATGGAAGCACCACTGCGTGTCAGATATGTGGGCCTATGTGAGATAGGAAGGAAGCTGCTCCGTGGGATCCGTCCCCTGGAAGTCACTCACAGGACAACTCCCCTAGTTCTCCACATTGCGTTGCCAGTGGAAACTTGGCTAATGGGACTCTGATTGAACTAAGGTTAATCACAAAGCAATTCCGTCTTCATTTCTGTACTACCTGTGGCAGTTCAGCCTGTGGTACCTCACTGGGAAATCCTGTGTGACAGACTGGAACTGCCTCCTACGGTTGTCTTGACTGTCCTGTTAATGAGGAGGGGTCCTTTGTGACTACTAGCTGAAAGATTGGCAGTTTGAATCTGCACAGAAGTGCATCAGAAGAAAGGTCTTGGTAATCCATTCTCAAAGGTCACAGCCTAGACAACCCAACGGAGCAATTCTCTGCGCACATGGGGGTTTCCGTGAGTTGAAATCACCTCAGCAGTTAACTAACTAGAATCTTAGCGGAATCAGATTGCTGAACCTTTTCAGCAGCTGAGTGCACCATCCCAGGATCTGTTTCTATTCTGTTGTTAAATGCCATCCAGTTGGTCCTAGTTATCTCTAGAGGGGCCTAGGAGCACCCAACTGTTGTTACGTGCCGTCTTGTTGGTTCTGACTCATCGTGGTAGTGGTGTGCCATGGAGTCTGTACCGACTCGTAGCGACCTAATGCACAGCAGAACAAAACATTGCCTGATCCTGGGCCGACCTCACTACTGTTGCCATGCTTGAGTCCATCGATGCTGCCACTTTGTCAATCCATCTCATTGGGGGTCTTCCTCTTTTTCTCTGACCCTCCACCTTACCAAACATGATATCCTTCTCCAGCGACTGGACCCTCCTGACAATATATCTGAAGTATGAGAGATGAAGTTTGGCCATCCTGGCCTCCAAGGAGCACCCTTGATGCACTTCTTCCAAAACAGATCTGTTGGTTCTTTTGGTAGCCCATGGCACTTTCAATATTCTCCTCCAACAACATAACTCAAATGCATCAATTCTTCTACAGTCTTCCTTATTCACTGTCCAGCTTTCATATCATGTGAGGTTATTGCAAATACCATGGCATAGGGTTTCTGAGGCTATAAATCTTTACAGGAGCAGAAAGCCTCATCTTTCTCCCACGGAACAGCTGGTAGTTTCAAACTGCTGACCTTGAGGTTAGCAGCCCGACTCACAACCACTGTGCTACCAGTGCAACCCTATATATGGTTTCTAAGGAGCAGCTGGTGAGCTTGAACTGCTAAATTTACTGTTCAAACCTTGAAGTCCAGCACATTAACCCGCAGCGCCACACCAGGACTCTTTGTAGTGAAATACTGTGGCATAGTCACTTCACTGCAGAAAGTCAACAGTGTTGCTTCTTTTAAAACAACCAAACTCTTTGACCCCTGAAAATATTTGCCTTGAGTTAATTTTTAAGCTAGAACCAAAAATATCCCTGGAAGTTGTCTCAAAGCCAAACAATAGTTTATGTAGCTTCCCTAGTAAAGAATGTTTGCCTGTAGCATTCTGCTCTTCGAAGATCTATCTCGATGGCATCAAAATGCCACAGCAACTGGAAAGCTTAGGTAGGCACCGTAGGGGGAGCAGTGAGTTTATGTTGGTGGGGGAGGGACAACTCAGAAACGGGGCGAAAGAAGGGCTGGGCAACTCAATAACTATCCACACCAATACCACATATATAAAGGGCACAGCCCCGTGAGGGGGTCTTGTGGTTTGCAAAACAACATAAAACACACATGTGCTGTTTGCATTAAAATCCAGTAATTAATATCACTGAATTGTACAGGTAGAAACTTGCATTGGTGTACATTTTGCTAGGTATATATATTCTCAACAATGGCAACAATGAAATAATTTATGAAGGAGTTTCAAAAAGTTTATGGGCAAATGGAATTAAAGAATTGATGCATTTGTTCCAGTAACTTTTTGAAGCCTGGTGGTGGTGGCTGTGGGCCCTGGAGTAGGTTCTGACTCATAGAGACCCTGTACAGGGTTTCCGAGGCTGTGAATCTTTACGGAAGCAGAAAGCTTCATCTTTCTCCTGTGGAACAGCTGGGAGTTTCGAACTGCTGACCTTGAGGTTTGCAGCCCGATTCGTAACCACTACGCTACTAGAGCTCTTTTCATCTATCTAATTCAGTTGCCGGGTTTAGGAAGGTTTTATTTTATTTAATCTAGGAAAGATTAAGAGCTCAGTAAATTGTTGTTACGTGCCTTTAAGTCGGTTCCGACGCAGAGTGACCCTGTATTGGGTTTCCGAGGAGTGGCCAAGTGGGTTTGAACTGCCAACCTCGTAGTTAGCAGTCAAGTTCTTATCATACGGCCCCATATCAGGAGCCCCTAAGTGGTAGTTTGTTACCAAAGTAACACTTCAGGGGGATGGTATGGCTCTAGGGTGGAATCTAATTGGATTTTAGTGTTTGCCCCACTCACACCTGCTGTGTTTTCTCTTCTCAGGGGCAGATGTCCAAGCGAGGGACCCCCGGCGCGGGATGTCGCCGCAGGAGTGGGCTGCCTACACGGGACGTACGGACTCGGTCCGTCTGATGGAGAGGCTGCTGGAGCGTCCTTGCCCTGAACAGTTTTCGGAAAAGTACAAGCTGGAGCTACTGAGGGTCCCGGAGGTCCTTCTGAAGCCCTCGGTCTCCAAAAACTGCCTGCAGAGGTTGGCCGAGTTCCTGCGGTCCACTCTGACCTCCCGCTCCAGTCAGGGCCTGCAGGATGGGGGCGCCCTGGACCACATGGTCAAGATGACCACAAGCCTCTACAGCCCGGCGGTGGCCGTCATCTGCCAGACCGTGTGCCCTGAGAGTACCCCCAGCGTGGGGAAAAGGTGGCTGGCCGTGCAGGAAATCCTGGGGGCTCCGGGAAACCGGGACACCCGTGGCCAGGACAGGGACAAGGCAGAGGGCCCTCAACAGCTATGCCGGACCTCCCAAGCTGGGGAGGTCTCCAGCTTGGGGTCCCCGAGATCCAGCCTGCCGTCGTCGCCGCCCAGGTCGGGTATCCAAGTGGCACCCGCCGCCCGGAAGGCCAGCCTCTTGCCCTTGCAGCTGCTGAGACGGGGCAGTGTGCGGCCGGGCGTGGTCATCCCCAAGGTTCGAATCAGCAAGGCGCCTGCGCCCACCTTCCAACCGGAGCGAGCGCCCACTAAGGACAGCGCCCACCTGCAGATACCCAAGTGGCGCTACAAGGAGGCCAAGGAAGAGAAGAGGAAGGCGGAGGAGGCTGAGAGGAAGCACACGGCAGAGACACAGAAGCAAAGGCGGGCGTCCCGCTGGAGGAAAAGGACGTGAGGGGTCAGCACAGGGAAGAGGTGGCCGGAACAGCAGAGCTCACCAGGACCAACCCCCGGAGACCGCGGAGGGCGGAGCTGCGCATACGCCCTCGTGTTCACCGGTTCCTTCCTTCCCTGGGGACCCCGAAAGTGGCCCTGACTGGTTTGTGCCGGCTGCACCCAGAGTGAGTTGGGGTTCCCAGCAATTGATTTTGCCTAAAACCCTGTTGGAGTTCTGGTGTGGCACTATGGGATAATGCACTGGACCCCAAGTTTGGTTTGAACCACAAGGTGGAGGTTCAAGTCCACCAGCCGCTTCTCAGAAATCCTGTACAGGGTCGCTGTGAGCTGGAACCAACGGCTTTTAACAACAACAAAACCGTGTTAACCCGGCCATCCACCCACCCAACGGCCAATTTGCCTAAAAGCCTCGCTTCTGTAGAACCTCAATTCCGAAAATTTTCAGTCCAATTTGTCACAGAACGTTTTCTGTATAATTTTGTATTTTTAATGATTATTTATCAAATTTGCTGCACCTTAGGAGCCATGGGACTCTTTGTAAATAAGGCATGTTGAACACATGTGTGGGAAGAACCATTGTTGAAAATGTTGCTTCTAGCAATAAATATTTATGGTATCTCTGTCATTTTGTACAGACGTGTGGTGTTCGCCCCATTTCTGCTGTGTCTCTGTGTCTGCCTGCCTTTCCCACAGTGGGTGCCGTGTGGGGTCTCTGCAGTCTGTTAGTGATGCTGCGCTGCATCCCTTTGATGGAGGTAGTGACTTTGACAGCAAAACAATCACCTGAGACAGAGGGACTAACGTCATTGAATCTTTTTTAGGTTCTGTCCATACAGTGAACCCTGGTTTGGCACTGTAAAATAAACACTAGGCTGCTACTAACCACAGAGTCCGCAGTTCAAACTCACCAGCTGCTCTCAAAAACCCTATGCAGTGTTGCTACGAGTCAGAAGGAGTCCTGTTGTACTGTAGAATAAGCACTAGACTGCTAACCGAAAGGTCAGTGGTTCAAATGTACCAGCTGCTCCTCAGAAACCCTATACAGAATCATCACTATGAGTCAAAGCCAACTCCACAGCAAAACACTATTCATACATTGGAGCCCTGGTGGCACAGTAGTTAAGCGTTCAGCTGTCCTTACCCACTATCCGGTCCCAGGGAGAACAGTGGAGCAGTCTGCTTCTAAAGATCTGTAGCCTTAGAAACCCTATGGGGCAGGTCTCCACAATTGTAGAAGGTGGCTATGAGTTAGCACTTACAACAGTGGGTTTGGTGTGGTTTGCTGGCGATTTATACATTAATTATGAAGGAAGGCATAGCTACATTGGCAAATTGCTAATTATGAAACAATACATAGATGTACAGG